CTGAAACGTCAGCTTTCCTGCTTCTCTGATGCTGCTTGGCCTGCTGTGTTCATCCAGCTCCACACCTAGTTATCTCAGATTTTCCAGCATCAGCAGTTCTTACTATCTCATGATCGTGTCTTTTCTCCTTTAAGCTACTGATGAACCTGTTCTGTTCTGTTTTACCTTTCAGTTAGTGTCAGCTGTGGTTCACTGGGAGGTACTCTTGTGCCTAAGTCAGAAAGTCACAAATTCAAGCCACATTCCACAGGTTAGAGTCTGGTATCGAGGCTGATAATCCTGTGCACCACACTGTTGATGTCGTTTGGTTGAGACATTAAACTGAGTTCCATCCACACACTCAGACATTGTGCGGCATTGTTGATTTTATTTAATATGATTTATTATTGTCATGTGTACCAAGTTGCAGTGAAAAATGTCTTACATCGTACTATACAAGTGCATTTGGGTAGCAGAACAGAGTGCAGGATACAGTGTAACAGCCACCAAGAAGGTGCGGAGAGAGATCGACATTAACATTTGAAAGGTCCTTTTAAAAGTATGGTAACAGTGAGGAAGAAACTGTTCTTGAATCTATTTGTACATGTATTCAAACTTTTATGTCTTCTGCCCTACAGAATAGGGTAGTAGAGAGTATAACCGGGGTGGGAGAGGTCTTTGATTATGTTGGTTACTTTCCCGAGGCAGTGGTAAGTATAGATGGAGTCAATGGATGGTTTGGGTCATGAATTGGTCTGTGTTCACAATGTTTTGAGGAGCAGGGAAATTCCCTCTACTGTCCTACCCATAACTATCCCTCAGTCATCATCACCAAAACAGAATAATAGATAATTTTCACATTGATGCATATGGCGCTTACTATGCATAAATTGGTTGCAGTTTTCCTCATGTCACAGCAGTGATTACACTTCAAAAATATTTCATTGGCTGTAAAGTGCTTTGAGATGTCCTAACATTGCAATATGTACTAAAGAAATGCAAGATCTTCCTTTCTTACTTCCAACCTAATACAGATCCATTTTAATTTCAGAATGAAAACATTTTCCTTGATGTACCTCATCAATTGGCCCTTTAACTTTGAGAGTTCCTTTGTTAGTTGCAAGTTTGTCTCATCTGATAACTCCATGGCCTTCTGGAGACTGGCGTTTTGCTCTCGTAACTTCTGATTTGCATATTTCAGATCGGCAACATCACTGATTAATTCATTGTTTTCTCTTCAAAAAAAAGCAGAGAAACACATATACAATTAAAGCACCATTGAGTGACTTGAGGTGGTACTCAACATAACTTGGAGAAATTGTTCAATTCAAGCTTATAAAACACTGATTACATTCCAGCTAGATTAACCAGAGAAGATTTACTTGAATGGCATCAGGGATGAGTAACTTCAGTTACGTGAAGAGAATGGAAGACTTGCAATTATTTGCTTTAGACCAGAGAAGGTTAGGAGCAGATTTGATAAAGGTAATAAAAGTCACAAATGGAAGAAATAAGGAGAAAATATTTCCACTGGTCGAAGAATCAATTAACAGGGCACATATTTGGAATCATAGACAGAAGAATCTAAGGCAACATGAGATAAGCTCTTTTTGCACAGCAAGTTATGATGATCTGGAGCACACCAACTAAAAAGGTGGTGAAAGCAAACTCAATTGTAACTTCCAAAAGGGAATTAGATAAAATTGAGAAACTGAAACATACGCAGGGATATGGAAACAGCAGGGTAGCAGTACTAATTGAACAGGTCTTTTTAAAAAACTAGCACAGGCAAGATTGCCCAAATGGCCACCTTCAGTGTGGTTTGAAGTAATGCATTCCAGATCTCAAAAACTCATTTCATCAATAAATTTCTTCTCATTTTCCTCCTGATTCTTTGGGCAGTCACTAATTTAGCAATTAAACACGTGTCCTCTGGTCACTGGCCTGGCTGCCACTGGAAACAGTGGCGTGGATTTTCCGATGATCAGACAATTGTTTCTGTAGTGTAGATGGAAATCAACTGCAAGTTGAGACCCTGCAGAATCCCAAAGTCATAGAAGTTATAAAAATCCTACAGTTTGGAAAGTGGCCATTTGGCTCACTGAGTCTGCATCAACCTTCCAAAGAGCTTATCACCCTACCCCCATAACCCCACTTTTACCATAGCCAATCCATCAAACCTACCCATCTTTGGACAGTGGGAGGAAACCCAAGCAGACATGGGGAAAACATGAAAACTCCACATAAGCAGTTACCCAAGGCTAGAATCGAACCTGGGTTACTGGCACTGTGAGGCAGCTGTGCTAACCATTGAGCCACCATACCATCAAAAGATTTCAAGGCAATTGCCTAGGATATTGAAGATTCTGATGGGTGTTTACGATGCATCTGGAACACTTTGAAAAAATCCATTTAAATTCTGAGGATTTCATTACAGTTAATTGTTACCTAGGAATAGTTAGGAGATTAAGAACCTAACTTAGCTTCAAGTTAACAATTAAACCTGCCCGTTACCTCACTGTGCACCCCTCCGAATATACCTCCCCCAGACTGCTTATACATTCCAGACTCTGAAACAATATTTCCCCACCCCCACCATCCACACAAACTCCCAACATTCTTCTGCCACCACCAGACTTAACATTCCAGCCAGCACTGGACTTATCATGACTCCAGCTGCTGAAACTAATAATTCTCTCTCCCCCAGGACCTGAGATTTGCCTCCTCCAGGGATCCAAAATCCTTCTCTTCCTGGAGTCAGCAACCCCTGATACCAGAGACACCCCTATCTCGCCAGCCTGACATTCTCACAATTAGACCTGACATGCGTCTACCTCCACAATCAGACCCGTTATCCATTTCACTCCCTGGGACTTGACACTCATCCCTTCCTTGGAATCAATACCAACACCTATTCCTTCTAATCCCCAATGCCCAACAATCCCACCCCACTAGACACAACATGCACACCCTCCACTACCAGTTTTAACAACCACTTCTTCCCAGGACCTGACAAAACTCCTCCCCACTCCCCTATTTCCATCTGGGACCCAACACCCCCTTTGCTCCTTCCACTGAACTTGACACGTCTTCCAACCTTGGCGAACACCCTTCCCCAGACCTGACATCCCCAGTACATCCCAACCTACTCTACATATTCCATAGCTTATCTACCACCCTATCCACCTTGCACTGTGGCACTCTACCACCTGGCACCCTACTGTACACTTGCCTTTACATACTTTCCCTTTCACTGTAGCTATCAAAGTGGCAGTCTGTGCTGCTGCACATTTACGTCACAGAATGTGGCAACTACTGCCATGAAAAAGGGAGCATGGTTTGACTTGCCCCAACTATTCTACACTGGGAGAGGCCTATTGGACATGAGATATGCTCCACATTTCTGAAGAAGCCATGATCAGAATCTCCTGCTAGAAATGCAGAGCTCTGGCTTAACAGAAAACAGCAGGGATGGTCTAGCATCTGAAAGTGATTACTTCTCCTCAGAAAATCCACCCAGTTTTTCCCTTATACTGCCTTGAAGTCTTGCATAATTTTGAATTCTTCCACTGAATATCCTTCAACCTTTTCTGCTTTAAGCACAATAAGCTCATTCTCTCTGATTTCTCCAGTTATTTGAAATCCATCATCTCTGATAGCATATTGTATAATTTCACATACAGCAGTGGTTATTTTACAGCGCTGATTGTTCTACTGGAAAAGTAATTTAGAGAACATGAATTCTATGCTAGTTTGAGAATGTTAATTCAGTTTATAAAAATCTGGAAACAGAAAGCTAGCATCAGTAAAACAGATCCTGAAGTTGTTGAATTGTTTTAAAACATAACAACTTCATCAATGTCTTTTTCAAATGGAAATCTTCCATCCACACCTATTCTGGGTTTATATGTGAGCCCAGTGTCACACTAACCTGGTCAACTCAGAGCTGGTTGTTTAAGTGTCAGATGAGTCACTCAATTGTACCATTATACATAAGAACATAAGAAATAAGAGCAGGCGTAGCCTATTCAGCCCTTTGAGCATGTTCCATTATTACACATGGACAATGAGGGACATGAAGTCGACTGGGACAACACATCCATAATCACACAAGCCAAACAGAGACATGCCAGGGAATTCCTGGAGGCCTGATATTCCAACTGAAACTCCATCAACAAACACAGTGAATTAGGCCCTGCGTACAAACCACTGAGAATCGGAACCGGAAGTAATACCAACCACCCCAGCAAACCAAGGCACATAAATAACAAGCGGGACAGAATGCCGACGCTTCACCGAAGGCGCACTGACGATGTTACCCAAGCAGGGTGATGAAACGTTTGCAACCAAACCCGCCGGCTTGGCAAGCAAGTCTACAACTTCATTATTCAATCTTCTCTGGGATTGATCTGATCGTAGACTGAAATACAATTTCCTACCTGTTCCATTCATAACCCTAGACTCCCTTACAGATTAAAAATCTGACTAACTCAGCTTTGAATATATTCAATGGCCCAGCCAACACTACTCTGTGGAATGGAGGACTCCATATATCTGTGAAAATAAATTCGTCTTGATTTCCTCCTTAAACAGAGACCCTTTATTCTGAAATTGCCCCCTCATTCTAGATTTGTCCACAAAGGGGACATCCTCTCAGCATTAACCCTGTTAATAAGATAACCTTTCACTCGTCCAAACTCCAATGAATACAGACCCAATTTCTTCTCATAAGCCAAGGCCTCCAACGAGGAGTTAACTTGGTGAACCTTCTCTGAACTGCCTCCAATGAAAGCATAACTCTCCTCAAATGAGGTGACCAAAAGAAGATGCTGTATTTTGCGTGCAGTCTCATCAGTACCCTGACAATTGTAAATATAAAGTCGCTATTTTTATACTCCTTCCTCCATCAATAAGGTTAACATTCCATCTGCCACCCTAATTACCTGCTGTATCTGCATGCTAACGTTTTTGTGATTCATGTATGAGGAAACCAAGATCTCTGTGTGTGCAGCATACTCCAGTTTCTCTCCATCTTCACTATTCTTCCTACCAAAGTGGAGAACCACACTATACTCCATTTGCCAAATTTTTGCCCACTTGCTTAACCTGTTAACATCCCTTTGCACACTTCATGTGTAATCCTCAGTAATTCTGACTCTGCTTGATTGTTTCATGATTTACTGAAACTCCTGCTATCATTTCCTTAACTTTTCCATTGATAGACACTAGGCTAACTAGCCTTTAGTCTTCTGTTTCAGTCTCTTTTGAATAGGGCATTACCTTTGCAGGTTTCCAATTCAATTAGACCTTTCCAGGGCCAAAGGAATTTTGGAAGATTCCACCAAGGTATCCATTTTCTCTGTGGTCACTTCTTTTAAGACTCTAACCTGGTAACCAGATTTGTCAGTCTTTATCTCAATTCATTATCCTTGTATTTTTTTCTCTCACGATTGAGATTATTTAAAGTTCCACCATGCCGATAGCCTTTAATATTCTGCTATTCTTGAAATGTTATTGTATCTTCCACTATTTCCACAAAGTACTTGCTCAAAGTCTTTCCCACTTCCTTTTTTCCCCATTATTAATTCACCAGTCTCACCTTCTAATGAACCAATATTTACTTTAGCTACTCACTTCTTTTTAATAAACTTGCAGAAGCTCTTGTCTGTTTTTATGTTTCTTGCTTGTTTGTTCTCATATTCTAATTTCTCTCTCATTATTATTTTCAGTCATTTGCTGGATACTGAAATTTTCTTAGTCTTCTGGTGTAGCACTAGTATTGTTTCTTTAACAATTTTAACACCATAATTAAATCTTTGACAGGTTAATTAAGGAAGTTAAGAAGAGGGCTGGACTTCTCAAAAAAACGGAATAAACAATAAATGCTAACCTTCTCAGTAAGCAATCGATACAAATTAAATTGAGGATTCATTTTTTTCTTAGCATGAGTCTGTGTTTTTCTTACAATGCACATGAATCTGACCTGAAAATAAAACTACAGGAGATTTTCATAGAAGTATTTTAGAAAATCATGGTATTGGCATCAGATAGTCTGAAACACACGAATGTAATACACATTAAAAAATCAGACAATTTGGAGTGTTGTCTGGTTCCTTGAATTACACATTGCATCATAGTCAGACAAGGCAAAGTATTAACCAGCAAATGTATCATATTCAAATGCTGTGTGGCAGTGAAGTCAGAACAATGACTGCCTGACCTCTTCCCAGTATCATCACTGCAAAGAATTAGCAACCTTGACAGGACATAGGTCTCAAGTAAAGGCATTCAGAATCTATACTCTGAAGACCTGGAAAACACAACTATCCCTCCCCTGGAAGGTCAAGTAGCTTCCATCTTCCCAGCCAGGCTCAAATGCCCAAACATGGGAATCTTCTCCATTACCATGGGCAAGAGAGGTAGGTATTCCAAATTCACCCAAGACCTCCGTGCAAGGTGCATCCCATGCTGCATCTGATACAGCTGAGCTGATCTCAAAGATCTATCTACTTTCTCACCTGCTGGAAAAGGATCTTATTCTCTTGGTAAACGTGTGGTCACTTTGAAAGTATCTGCAAAAACAGTACAAATGATCCCTGAGTAAGTAGGATAGAAAATGAAAACATGTTAATTTGAGAACCATGAGATAATAATGTTATAAACAGGAAGGTGTGTCGATTAGAATACATTCCAGGACAATCTTAAAGATGATGTAAATCTTGACTGGTTTTTCTAGAGTGAATTATGAAAGATTATTTCCAGTAGCAGGAGGGTCAGTAACCTGAGAAGACAGACTTGAGATAATTGATAAAAATGCCAGTGGGGGATGAGGATTGTTTTTAATATATCATCTGGAATGTGCTGCCTGAAAAGATAATGGAAGTAGATTTAATAGTAACTCCTAGAAGTGAACCAGTTAACTACTTGAAGGTGAAAAATTTGCAGAGTTATGGAGAAAATGCTGGGGATGTGGAACCAATTAGGCAATTCTTTGAAAGGCCCAGCACAGGCATGTTAGATTGAATGGTCTTCTTAAAATCATACGAATGTAAGACATAGGGGCAGAAGTAGGCCATTCAGCCCATTAAGTCTGCTCCACCATTCATTAAGATCATGGCTGATCTGATAATCCTCAGCTCCACTTTCCAGTGCTACTTCCTGTTCTGAACCAGAATTGAGAAATATCATCAATTTTACTTCTGGTGTCCATTCTTCTCTCACCCTCATCTGGTCCATCTTGACTCTTCTCTTCACTTGCTTGGTATTATAGTTTTCTCAACTGAGGGTTCTCCCATTGTGGCTGACAGGCCCTTCAACCGTGTCTGAACACACCTGCACTTCTGCCCTCACCACTTTCCCTCACTCTCAGATCAATGATGAGTTTTCCCTTATCCTCAATTTCCACTCCACTAGTTTCCACATTCAAAGATTCATCCTCTGCCGTTTCCACCATCTCCACCAAAATACCGGCAACAATGACAATTTCTTCTCCACACCACTGTTGGCATTTTGTGGGGTTAGTCCCCTCCATCATACCCTGATCCACTCCTCATCTTTCCTAAAGGTTCCTCACTCCCCCATGGTATGTTCCCATGCAATCACAGAAGGTGTAACACTTGCCCATTCACCTCCTGTCTCTTCGCTGTCTAAGGAAAGTGAAAGTGCTCTACTTGTACGTCTTTCAATCCAATGTGTTGCATTCACTCTTTTACTTTGTCAAGACCAAAAGCAGACTCTGCTTTGCAGAATATCTCTGTTTTGTCCATAAGAATGACACTGATCTTCCAGTTGCTTGACAATTCAGTAAACTACTTTGCTCCCATGCTAACATTTCTGTCCTTGGTCTGCTACAATGTTCTAATGAAACCCAGCAAAAGCTGGAGGAACAAAACCTTACTTTCCACATAGACACTTTACAGTCTCTGGCAGTTAAAATTGATTTGAACAAGTTCAGTGAACAAGCTCTGTTCTGCTATTTTTCTTACATCCCCCCTGTCCTGAGCTGTGACTCGTTGATTTTGCTCTCACGAAAGCGAATCCATTTTCTCTTTTTCATGCCTTCAGTTACATCTAGTTTACATTGCTATCTCTCCTTAATATTGTCACTCCCTTTGATTTTCCTTTTCCCTCAGAGGCCTGTGCGACTTTGGTACTCTCCACCCCAGAAGTCAACGCAGTAAGGATCATTGAATATTTTAAATGTGGAGGGAATACGATTCTTGTTAAGCAATGGAATCAAATGTTATCAGGCAGCAGTGTGCAATCGAAGCACAAACAGGTCAATCATGATCTTATTGAATAGGAGAGTCGATTTGAGGGGCCAAATTAGTCTACTTCTACTCAGAGGTAGAATATTAAAATATGGTGAAGGGGTGATGCACTAATTAAGGGACTACTTCCAATTGCTCCTACTCTCCCAGCTCCTTGTACTTGTCCAATGCGTTTTTGAAAATTATTATTAAATTTGATTTTGCCATCCTTTCCCTTCATCATTTTAAGAACCTTAATTATATGCCCCTCAAATTCCATCCTTCTCCAGTGAGAAAAAGAATACTAGTTTCTCCATACAAACTAAAAGCCTTCAAGGCCAGTTATCAATATCCTAGATGTAGCCTAGGATATTCTTAACTGGTTTTGAAGGCTTTTGACTGTTACCTAGGATATCTGAATCCCCCTAATGTTAAGGCTATATCAAGATGGCTACCATCTCCAGAAGAGAAATTACAAAGCTTTTTTACCAACTTACAGCAAACACATGACTAAAATAACATAGCATTCTTAACCACTTCAAACAAAATACCAGATTTGTGGAGACAGTTTGTAAAAGTATTTTTCCTGATTTTACTCCAAAATCATTTTGGTTTGGCTAGGTACATACATTTTAGAGCTGCCCATCTCTTCCTCCAATGTTCCGACCATCACACAAGAAGTTTCCTCTCCTGTTAAGATAAACAGTTATAAAAATTCTGAGAAGTTCTGAATTGTAAACTTCAAATTAGTTGACACAAATTAAATGCCTCTTGAAACTTGTCCTGAAACATTCTGATAATGACAGTACATGATTCACTGAAATTAAACCCTTCAAATGGAAATTGGCCAATGGAACCAAGTAAATTCCACAATATAAGACCTGGCAACTCAGTTTCTTGCGTGTGTTGTCTGTGGCCGAGGATAGCAAAACAATCCATTTAATTTACTGTCATAATGCTTTATATTTTGGTTCCATATAAAACTGTGCTGGAGACTGAATTTATTCTTCATGGAAAGATTTACTTTCACTGATGTAAACAAATCTTCTAAAGTGGTAGGTGAAGTTGATAAGGCTGTATAAAATCACACATATATGGCTGAACCTTAGAAGGTGATGAATCTGTGGAATTCTTTACCACAGAGAACTGTCGATGGAGCGTCGAAGGTTGTGATAGCCAGATTTCAAATCATTAAGGAAATAAAGGGCTACAGGAATAAGCCAGGAAAGTAGGGTTGAGGATTATCAGATCAGCGATGATTTCATTTGAATGGCAGAGCAGACTCGATGGGCTGAATGGCATATTTCTGCTCCTATATGTTATGGTCCTTTAGGCTAAGACTGAATTGCGTCACTTTTTGTGTTAAGTTACTTGCCACGAAGCCTAATGAGTCCTCTTGTGATATCTCACCAAACTTGTGTCATTAATCACTTAACACAGCTACATCACAATCATGGATGACAAGGTGTAGAGCTGGATGAACACAGCAGGCCAAGCAGCATCAGAGGAGCAGGAAAGCTGACATTTTGGGCCTAGACCCTTCTTCAGAAATCATTGCAATCATGACTGATTTCTATCCATCTTACTACTTGCCATTCCTACAACAACTAGCCACTCGGCAAATATACGCCAAAAGACTGGCATTCATTCATTAATTCATTCCTTTTGACTGTGCCATCTTTGAAAGGCTGCTGTGTGCATCAGCAAGTGTTTATAATCTAGCATTGCCCTTCAGAGGCAGCATAATGGCACAACAGTCCCAAAGCTAGGCTGCCCATCGCATAGCTCCCTTGCACATACGTCCCCATTTTCTCAGCTCAGTCACTATTTAACAATCAAGCCACAAACTTTTTCTGGCCTTAGCTATGTCCCATCTGAACATCCTGTAAGTCTTTGCCACACTGTAACCAATACCCACAATATACCCACATCTTATCAGTAGTACTGGTTGGAGATTTTAATTTCCCCTGTCTTGACCAGGCCACCCAGAGTGTAAAAGGCCCGGACAGGGTAGAATTTGTAAATTGTGTCCAAGAAAGTTTTCTAAATCAATATGTAGAGGGCCCTACTCGGGAGGGTGCAACACTGGACCTCCTCTCAGGAAACAAGGTCAGGCAAGTGACTGAAGTGTCAGTTGGAGAGCTCTTTGGGTCCAGTGATCATAACTCTCTTAGTTTTAACATAGTAATGGACAAAAATAGGTTAAGGTGCTAAATGGGAGCAGGCCCAATTTTGAGGCCATTAGGCAGGATTTAGCAGAGGTTGATTGGGTGAGTGTGTTTTAAAGAAAAGGAACAGCTGGAAAATGGGAGGCTTTTAAAAGTGTGATATCAAGAGTCCAGGGATAGTGTGTCCCTGTTAGGGCGAAGGGAAAAACTGATAGGTTTAGGGATCCCTGGCTGATGAAGGATATTGAGGTTCTGGTCAGGAAAGAGAAGGCATACATTGGGTTTAAGCTATCGGGCTCAAGTGAATCTCAAGATGACTATAAAAAGTGTAGGAGCACACTTAAGAGGGAAATCGGCAGAGCAAAAAGAGGGTATGAGATGGATCTGGTGGATAAGGTTAAAGATAATCCCAAGCTACATTAAGAGGTGGCTAGGGAGAGAATAGGTCCCCTTAAAGATCAGCATGGCTGTCTATGTGTGGAGACACAGGAGATGGGGTAGATTTTTAATGAATCTTTCTTCTCAGTGTTTACTGAGGAGAAAATCATGGATGCTCCGGAAATAAGAGAAATAAGTGGGGATGTTTTAGAATGCATACAGATTACCAGAGAGGAGGTGTTTGCAGCCTTAAAGCGCATTAAGGTGGATAAATCCCCTGGGCCTGATCAAGTCCATCCTCAGACATTGTGGGGGGCTAGAGAAGAAATTGCAGAGGCCCTTGCAGAGATCTTTGCTTCATCTTTAGCCACTGATGAAGTTCCAGAAGACCGGAGTGTGGCTAATGTTGTTCCATTGTTTAAGAAAGGCTGCAAAGACAAGCCAGGGAACTACAGGCTAGTGAGCCTGACAACAGTGGTAGGCAAGTGGTAGGCAGTGGAGGGACAAGATCAACCAACATTTGGATAGTCTGATTAGGGATAGTCAGTATGGGGTTTGTGCATGGGAAGTCATGTCTGACAAATCTTTTAGTTTTTCGAAGAGGTAACCAAGAGGATGGATGAGGGTAGGGCAGTTGATGTTATCTATATGGACTTTAGTAAGACCTTTGACAAGGTCCCGCACGGCAAGCTGGCCATGAAGGTTAAGTCGCATGGGATCCGGGAAGAGCTAGCTAATTGGATTCAAAATTGGCTCGATGGTAAGAAGCAGAATGTGATGGTTAAAGGTTATTTCTCAGACTGGAGGCCTGTGACTAGTAGTGTGCCACAGCGGTTGGTGCTGGGACCTTTGTTATTTGTTATTTACATAAATGATCTGGATGTGAATGTACAAGGCATGATTAGTAAGTTTGCAGATGATACAAAATTAGGAGGCATCATTGATAGCAAGGAAGGTTATCAAAAATTACAGAGGGATCTTGATCAAATGGGGAAGTGAACTGAGGATTAGCAAATGCAATTTAATACAAATAAGTATGAGGTGTTGAACTTTAGAAAGTCAAACTAAGATAGGACTTATACAGTAAATGGTAAGGTCCTAAGGAGTGTTGTGGAACAGAGGGACCTAGGATTACAAGTACATAGTTCATTGAAAGTGGCGTCACAGATACGGTGGTGAAGAAGGCATTTAGCATGCTAGCTTTCATCAATCGAGGTTTTGAGTATCAGATTGGGATGTTTTGTTACAGCTGTATAAGTCATTGGTGAAGCCGCACTTGGAGTATTGTGTAAAGTTTTGGTCACCCTGTTATAGGAAAGACATAGTTAAACTGGAAAGTGTGCAAAGAAGATTTACGAGAATGTTGCTAGGACTAGTAGGCCAGGATAGGACCTTTTTTCCTTGGAACGTAGGAGAATGAGGGGTGACCTTATTGAGATGTATAAAATCATGATGGGCATAGATAGGATGAATGCATACAGTCTTTCTCCCAGGAATGGGAAATTGAAAACTAGAGGGCGTAGGCATAAGGTGAGAGGGGAAAGATTTAAGAAGGACCTGAGTGGCAACTTCTTCACGCAGAGAGTGATGTGTGTATGAAATGGGCTGCCAGAGAAAGTGATTGAGGCAAGTACAATAGCAACATTTAAAAAACATTTGGATAGGTACATGGATAGGAAGAGTTTAGAGGGATATGGACCAAATGTGGGTAATTGAAACTAGCTAAGTGGGCACCATGGTCAGCATGGACCAGTTTATGCAGAAGGAGATAACAAGGTGTAGAGCTGGATGAACACAGCAGGCCAAGCAGCATCATAGGAGCAGGAAGGCTGACGTTTCGGGCCTAGACCCTTCATCAGGACCTGTTTCCATGCTGTATTACTTTATGACTCTACCTTGTTACTGTCCAAAAGGGGTGCAGCACATACAGGCAAGAAATAGACAAATAAAGACAAACATGAGCTTTTATTTACACAAATGCAAAACATATTGAGTTTTCCCAATTAACTTGGTTTCTCTGTGTACAATTATAATTTCTTTAAAAATCCATTCTAACACCTTCTCCATGGTATCAGGGTAGTTGGCCTACAGGGTGGAATCTTTTAGAACCTGAGTGATGTGGACTATGGTGAAGTGTGCTGCAGAATCAGGCAACAAGCGCAGCGAGACTGATCTCAGCATCCAGACCATCTTTATTCCATCCTTTAAGCTCTTCACAAGTGGTTTAGTGAGATTCTCACTAAACAGTGGCAAGATGCCAATTGATGGTGATAATTGCTTGTTAACCAGTTGCTAACAGCCCAACTTGTCTTACTAATGATCGATTCCCATCTTAACAAATTCGCCAAACAAGCTGGACATCTGGAAAAGTTGCTGAAGAAATCAGAGTGATCATGTGGCAGATTCAGCTGACCATTTGCTCTAAACAATCGCCATGTTTGAAACCCAGTATCAACATCTCAGGACACACTCTATAGGATGCTTCAGCACTTCAATGCTGACCGATGATCGACACCAGCAATGGTGTAACGCTGCAGCAAGGACACTGTGCACTCAGGGACACAAACCCAACTCATCTCTGGTCTAGATCTTCATTTGCTGTCAGGGCACTTGCACATTGAGTCTACCTCAATACTCAAAGCAACCCTGCCTTGCATTGTCTTCTTTTTGCACTTTTCCCCCTCAGACTGAAATAACAGGCACATTTTACTGCTGTCATACCATGCAGTTTATTGCTGGCACAATACCAGGAAGCTGTCATAGTTGTCAGCGATGGAATTTTTTTGTATAATCAAAAGTGAAGTCATTGTGTCTTAACTGCCCTCTAGAATGGGCAATAAATGCTACTTCTTTGAAAAAGTTTATTAACACCTGTCTCAGTATCTGCTTTGTATGGAACAAAAACAGAAGTTGCTGGAAAAGTTCAGCAGGTCTGGAAGCATCTGTGAAGAGGAAGTCAGAGTTAACGTTTTGGATCCAGTGACCCTTCCTCAGAACCTGATTCAGTACTCTTTGAGTACTGCACTGTGAAATATCAGCCTGGATTATACACATCAATCTCGACAGCAGAGCTTGAATCTAGTAATCCTGAGCTGACACTGGAAAAGTAGGTTTGGTGGGTGTGAGTGGTGATGTTCTTTAATGAGCTGCCTGTTGTAGTGAAACTTTCCAAACTCTACGAAGCCTTAAGGAGCAGAAAAATTCTTCTGACTTCTCGTATTTTTTCATCCAGTGAGACTGTACCCATGTGAATTGGTCTACCGTATTATTTTATTCTCAGCAATCTAGCTTAGAATCTCGCCATTCCTTCTTTAAATAAAAATTTCATATGAACACAGTGGCATCTGTAAAGTTTTACTTACCATCCATTGATTGAACAGAAGAATGTTCTCTCATATCTGCTTTATCATCAGATGGGCTGTAAAACAAGCATCAAAGACACTAAAAAGCATAAAGCACAACCAAACTACATAAAGGAGGAGCTGATAAACCTAGTGGGAAATTCAGAAGAAACTTTTTCACACAGAGAGTGGTGAGAATGTGGAACTCATCACCACGGAGAGTGGTTGAGCCAAATAGCATAGATGTACTTAGGGTGATTCTGGATAAGCATATGAGGAGGAAAAGAATAGGAGTATATTTTGATCCTAAGATAAAGACTCATCTGATGAAGAATCACTGAACTTGAAACATAACTATGCTTTCTTCCCACAGATGCTGCCATTTCTGCAGCAATTTCTGTTTTTCTTTCAAATCTCCAACATTCTCAGCTTTTTTTGTTTTCTTTTAGCGTATAATTAAATTGAATTTTGGAGCAGGCTTATGGGGTTGAATACCTTCCTCCTGTTCCTGAAGTTCATTGATTGTCAATAGGCTATTCAATCAAGAAAAGCTCATTATAAAATCAAGACATCCTCACCAATATTTAAACAAGAACAAAAACCCTACCAGAATTTTCTGTCCACAGGAAGTGAGATGATCTTAACTACCAGCCTCAAGACAGGTCAGTTACTGCTGCAGAAACCAGAGTTGGGTCTCAGAATCATTTAATTTTGTATGACACTGGTCCACGCTCAGCAGAATGTGTAGAATTCAATCCATTGGTAGAATTCACATATGGGATTGAATTGCAACAGTTCAATGAGAAAGTCCACAAACTTTCTGAGAGCAATGAGGTCCAAGCATTAATTATCAGCTTGTCAATATCTTCAAAGTCGCCAGCTCATATATAAATAATACTTTTCTTCATCATGATCAATAGATGGATACAAGGGAAGAGACCTACTTAGGAACTCAGGAACACAGGAATTAGGAGCAGGAGTTGGCAATTCAGCCCTTCAAACCCGCTCTGCCATTTAACATGATTATGGCTAATCTTATCCTGGTCTCAACTCCACTTTTCTGACTTCTCCCCAAAGCCTTTTGTCCCATTTTTCATCAGAAACATATCTTTCTTGAATCTGTTGATTTATTCTGCCTCTACTACACTCTGGGACAATGAGTTCCACAGATTCACAAATTAATTTCTCCTCATTGCAGTTTTGAACCAAACTCCTCTCACTCTGTATCTATGATCTCTTGTTTGAGACTGTCCCACAAGGAGGAACATCTACTCACACCCACCTTATCAATCCCCTTTCACATTTTATATACCTCAATCAGATCCCCCACCCCCATTCTTTTGAGCTCGAGCGAGTACAAGTTCAAGCTATTTAAACGCTCCTCGAACAATAGCCCTTTCATCCCTGGAATAAAACTAGTGAACCTCCTCTGAACTACCTCTAGTGCCACCACATCCTTCTTCAAGTAAGGAGAGCAAAACTGAACATAATATTCCAGGTCTGATCTCGCCAATGCCTTATATAATTGTAACAACACTTCTTTACTTTTATAATCCAGTCCTTTTGCAATAAATGCTGGGAATCCATTTGTCTTTCTTATTACAAAGAACAATCACCAACATAAACTAACTGGATTGAATGGCTTGTTTCTGTGCTTTTCTATGTAACTAGGCCTCAATATTATCATTGATATTCATGGTGGACACATGTGTAATCCATCCACATGACATTCTTCCTGTTTGGCTCATGAAATAGTTAATACATTAATTTTAAACTGGTTAACCACAACAACTTGCAGCTTTAACATAATTAAATGTCACAAAGGGCTTCACAGAAGAAATTACCAGACAAAATTTGAGATCAAGCCACGTAAGTAGATAGCAGGCAAATGATCAAAAGTTTAACCTCAAAGAGGTATGTTCAAGGAGGATGCTAATGGACAAGAGATTGAGAAGTGGTTTAGGGAAGGAATTCTAAAGTGTGGGGGGCCATCAGCTTAAGGCTGAGTCACCAATGGTGGAGCGATCAATTCATTTAGAAGGCCCCAATTGGAGAAGCACAGAGCTCTGTACGTGAAGTCACAAAAATACTTGCATTTACTTAGGTCCTTTTGCAATCTCTTGGTATCCAAAAGCATACCCCAGCCAATGAGGTGCTTCTGCGTGTAGTTTCTGCAGTGACTAGAGATTGTCAGATTGAAGATTTTGCACAACAGATACAGGGGTGATGATAGTGAGAACTTTTATTACACAGCACAGCAGTCATGACCTGGAACCGCTAACTATGAGAGTCATGGAAACAAAGATAATCGATAATTTCAAAATGGGGACTTGATGGAAATAAACTGGCAAGGTTACAGGACTACAACAAGGGAAGGGACTGTCTGAATTGCTTCACAGGTAACCAGTATGGACTCAAATGGTTGAATAGCCTCCTCAATGGCATAATAACACTATGGTTCCAATATAGGAAATACAGCAGAGAATTTTCACACAGAAAGCTCTGGCAAACATCAAAGTGTTTGTGGCTAGATGATCTGCATTTTAAATTATGTTTCTTGTGGGATAAATATTGGCCGGGACATTGAAGAGAACTGCCTTCCTCTTCTTCAGAATAATGCTAATGGATCTTTTATGTTTGTCTGAAAAATCAGATCAGAGTCATTGTACTGTTTCATTCGCAAGATGGAGGCTCCAATACTATATTGCTCCTTCCGTACTGCATTGGCAGCCTGAATGATGGATTTATGCCTGCAGAGTTGGTTTTGAATCTACAAATTCATGAATCAGTGATAACTCTGTTAACCTACCACACCACCAGTGGTTTCTATTTTAAACTATAAAGGATTCTTTTTTTTTCAGGTTACCCTTTCTGACAGCAAGTTGCAATCCATCTTTTCATTGTGGAATGGAATTGTTCACAGTCAACAGCAACATCCCTTTTGTCTGGATCAAGCATGTTGTACAATACATGTAGTCTGCCAAACTTGTAGCTTTGTCCCGTCATTTCCTGCAGATAACGAACGATCACTGATGTGGAAACCTTTCCTGTTGAACAAGATGAAAAGTCCTGCTTTCACAAAATATCCTACTATAGCTCAAAGAACAGTAAACCCTATATACACGAAGTGCCTCGTCCACTTGGAAGTACTATTCAAGAATTATACATATGAATCGCAAATTACAAGAAGCAGCACACATGAGTTATCAAGAAATATACTCATAAGAACATAAGACCTGTCAACGCTCGAGCTTGTAAACCAATTAGATATCTTAACTCCATTTACCTCATGCCTTGGTTCCATATTGCCATGTGCATAAAGAGGCGCTTCCTGATAGAAGCCTGATTTTAATTTTAATAATATGATGCCCCCTAGTTATCGTCTCCCCACTAGAGGAATTTATCAAGCCAACCAAATCCATTAATGGGTTTAAAATCATCATTTCCAAGATGGCTGTCTGGAAGAACGACTCAGCCTGTTCCACTCACCCATTCTCTGTCTCCTCATATAACTATCCAATTTCTTTTTGAATGTCACACTTGAATCTGTCTCCACCACTCTATCAGGTTGTTGTATTATTGCATAGATCTCAAAAAGGCACTGTACCTTTAAGATAACTGGATGACATCACAACATGTGATGCTTTAATATAAGAGGTGTCCATTTTACTCTGTACAGAAAGCAAGCAGATAGGCAGTCAGTTTGTTAATCTATTAATGAGCTAGTCCAATTTCATAGATATGAGGAAACTTTTACTCCTTAATAGAGTGGTTAGTAATCAGGGGGACATAGATTTAAGCTAAGGGGCAAGAGATTTAGAGGGGATTTGAGGAAATTTTTTTTTCACCCCAGAAGCCATTTGAAATCTACTGTCTGAAAGGGTGATAGAGGCAGGAATCCTCACAATACTTAAGAAGAATTTAGACGGACATTTGAAATGCCACAGTATACAAGGTTAGAGGCCAAGAACTAGCAAACAGGATTTAGTATGTAGTTGTTTAATGACAGGTGCAAAAACTGATGAGCTGAAGGGTCTCTTTCTGTGCTGTAATACTCTATAGATCTGAATTTCTTCACTTAGAAAGCTGCAAATATTTGGAATTCTCTATGCTGTGCTGATGAATATTGTTACGTCAGAGAGAAATAGGATTTTGGGCACCAAGGGAATCAAATGATTTTGGAATAGGCTAGAAAAGTGGATCTGACAGAGAAGATTGGCCGTGAATGTACTGAATGACACAGCAGGGTCAAGGGATATATCGCCTACTCTTGCGTCTATTGCTTGAATACTTATGATCTTACATTCTAAGAATATTGGTTCTATTCTCAGATTATAGGTTTTTTCTTAAAATGCCAAGAAGTCTTGATAGGTAAGCGGAGGAAGCCTGGTAGGAAAGAAGATATGGAGAAGACAGAAAGGTAAAACAGAACCAGTCATAGGGAGACAGATGGAGGGGAGAAAGAACATGACAAACATTTAACACAATTGCATTAAAAAGGAGATTTTATAACTTATAGATCATGTACCTGTGCCCTCTTTGTCACAAACTTTGAAGGTGAAGTTCAGCACATCCTCTTCAGAGCAAATATTTGCCTCTTCTTCACTTTCTACTCCTTTTTCTGAAGGTAGGGTTTCAATGTTGCCTGTTGGAAGTTTATCACAAGTTAAAAAATAAACAAGATGTCTGATTTGATGAATGTACTGCTTGCAAAACATTAAAGCAAGCTGCATCTCACTGCCCAGTAATGCTGTTCAAAATCATACCGTTGTGGGAGATCAGGAGATTAGGGGACTGGAGGTGTTGTGGCTATATTATTGCATTAAAAATAAAAAGACAGATGAAGAAAAACTACTAATGAACAAAAAGAGAACTTGAATTCAAATCCCATCATGGTTGGGAATTCTACTTAAAATCTGGGAATTAAAATCTTGCTTTGGTAAAAGTGACCACTTAAGATTTTGGATTGCTGTAAAAATACAACTGGTGCATAACTGTCCCTTTAGAGAATTTAACCTGCCATTCTTGACCAGTCTAGGTCTATATGTAACTCTAATCCCATATACACCAATGCAGTTGACTCTTAACTGCCCCTGACTCCACCCACAATGCCATCTGCCTCACTCCCAGTTCATAACATTCCATTACTTCTCCAACCTCCAAACACAAGAGAAAATCTAGGGTTGATGCTGTAGCAAATCCTTTGGCCCAATGACCTGAGACATTTACTTCATGGGGAATTCCAAATACAAACTCATATCCTGCCAACCAAGTCAGTGAGTAGCATTACATTTATTACAGTGGTGTAATCAAAGTTCAATGATGAACAAATTTGTTTTTCACTTATTTGCTGTTCAAACTTACACTTTATGTAATGAAGCGATAATGGAGGTTCCCAAACTGCAACATCATTTTGTTTTCTATTTTTAATTGATTGTTACTTTCAACAGGAAATTAGATGACTACTTGATAGAAAGAAATGGGGAAAGAACAAGAGATTGAGACTATAGATATACTGGGCTTCACAAGAGCCAGCTTAGATTTTATGCACTGAATGGCCTACTTCTGCACTGCACTATTTTACCACTCTATGGTTTTTCAACCAGTAAAAGCCAACTGCTCTATGAAACATACAATTTACATTTATATGGCTTATTTCAGAACGTCTTGTGGCATTTCAAAGTGCCATTGCTAGTTTGGTGATATAACAACCATGATAAAGACAAAGTCCTATTCACATTCTCATAATAACATTGTCACATCAAAGAGAGGAATGTTTCAAAAGAGCCCACCACTACCTCCACAGGAAAAGGCATTAAATGCTTACCTTGCCAGGGATTCACAGAACCTGACGAAGAACTAAGAATAAGCACTGAAATGAATCTTTGTTTAAAAAAGAAAATGCTCAAAATACTCAAGCAGAGAAACAGAATCAACATTTCAGCTGTAGGGAAGATTACAAACTTGAGACTAGAAATGGGTAGGTCTTCATCTCAGAAAAAGATTGACAGGCTGGGTCTTTTCTCTCTTGAAAGACAAAAGCTATAAAAGGTCTTTAAATTATGAAAGGTTTTGATAGACTAGATACAGATAGAATGTTTCCCCTTGTGGAGAATTGCGTAATTAGAGGCCATCAATTAACATAGACACCAAGAAATCCAAATGAGAACTCAAAGGAAACTCCTTCAACTAAACAGTGACAAGAATGCAGCATTTGTTCGCACAGGGACAGTTGAAATGTATGGTATAATGCAATAAAAAGAACAAACAAGTTTATTAGGGATCAGGAAATAGATATTTACAATTGTAGATGTAAATAAGAAAAGGGGAGAGGAGGAAAGTGGATCATAAATGTAGGCACAGTCAGATTGGGCTAAATAGCCTTTTTTTTGTTATACATTACCCTATTTTGCTTCTGGACCAATTAGTCTATTCTTGTTGGTGATAGTTGAAGAAAGATGTCTACAAAAACCTTATTCTTCAAATAGTGACATTGGAATGTCCCTGCCCTAATTTATGACTTTGTCATCACTAGATCTGATTATTCTAACACACTTCTGAAGATCTCCAAAACCTGATTCCATCCAAAGCTTTAGTGCCCATGTCTTAACTCACAGCAAGTCTATTTCCCTATCATCCCTGTGCTCTCTGACGTCATTGATGTAAGGCAGAAAAGTAAAATGGATGATTATCAAATCAGACAAGATCTCATCGAATGGCAGAGCAGACTTAATGAGTCAAATGTCTTACTTCTGCTCCTACATATTATGGTCTAACTGAGGAGGTGCCTGCCAGTGATGGAGCCATTAAAATCAGCTGCACAGAAGCCAGAATTGGAGGACTACAGAGATCTTGGAGCGTTATAGTGCTGGAAGAGGTCACATAGATAGTAAGGGACAAGGTAATGGGGGCACTTGGAGAGAAAAGTTGAGAATTTTAAAATCGAGGCTTTGATGGACTTTAATTCGCATGCATCTACTAATTAGTGATTTAAAATTGTTGCTATCTCAGTTATCAAATTACCAACTAGCAGAACTAATTTATTCTGATTAATTTTTAACTCTTTATTAGATCATCTTTTCATCTCCTTTGATCTAACTAAAGAAGACTCATTTTCTTTTTTCAGCACTGAAGTCTTACCTCTCTTTGATTACATTAGTCAATCTAGTCTGCATGCTTTCCATGTTTTTCCAGTATTCCAAAAGTTAGACAAAAGCTGAAAAGCTAACCAATGATTGCTACAAGTTTAACATTGCCTTGTCTTTTTCTATGATCCTATTTATACAACCTAGGATCTTAATGCTTTATTTCCACAGTTTTGTCAACTGATCATAAGAATACAAGAAATACACATGAGGAGGCCATAGAGCCTATCAAGTCTCTGACTGCTATTCAATATGAGCATAGCTGATCATCTATTTCAACTTCACTTTCACTTGATCCCATGGAATCAGCTAAGGGTGTTTGAGTGACTCACAGCCTTTATTGATGAAATCAATTCCTCTTCCTCCATAGACTTCACAAACTGCATCCTCTCCAGGTTTGTGTGTATTCACTAATGAGACACATTCAGTTGTGTTGGTGTCTTTGTTCACATCCACAGATGAGCAAACTGTTCCAGCTCCAGAGTCTAAACTTGTGGCAGAATTGAAGACTTGGGTATTTCTGTGTTCATTGCCAATTGCTTGGCTCCTCTGGAGAGATGGCAGATTGACACGGCAAGAGGAATATTGCATGCCATCAGACTTAACTTTGGAAGTCATTTTATTATCAGAAAACCTGCAGAAATGAATCAGGACAACAGGATAGTTACGCAAATGGCATTTCCAAACTGTTGCAAGTTTTCGTAGCAGCAGTGTGAGCCCAGAACTGTAACACTGTACAACAGGTCTAACTGGAAATGTATCAGTATTATCAATGCGACACCTACAAGCCCTCACCGGACGACCATAGAATTTAAATTGGATGTAGGGGCCATGGAAGGAGTGCAGCTCTGATTCCCCAGAATAATAGTGGGGTTGAAAGATTTAAACTATAAGGACAGGTTCAATAAACTGGGCTTGTATTCCCTTAAAGGAAGTAAGTTAATACATGATCTAAATTGAGGTGTTCAAGATTACAAGATTTGATAGGGTAGATTGAGATTTGATTTATTATTGTCAAATGTACCAAGATACAATGAAAAGTATTGTTTTGCATGCTAACCAGACAAATCAGACCTTACATAAGTAAATCAGAGTAATAGAACAGAATGCAGAATATTGTGTTACAGCTACAGAGAAGGTGCATAGAAAGATCAACTCTTGTAGAGAGGTCCATTCATAAGGCTGATGACAGCAGGGAAGAAGCTGTTTTTAAATCTGTAGGTATGTGTTTTCAAACTTTTGTATCGTATGCCCGATGGAAAAGGGTGGAAGAGAGTATAACCGGGATGAGAGGGGTCTTTGATTATGTTGGTTGTTTTGCCAAGGCAGTGGGAAGTGTAGACAGAGTCAATGCAAGGAGGCTGGTTTTCACGATGGACTGGGCTGCATTTACAACTCTGTAATTTCTTGTGGTCTTGAGCAGAGCAGTTGCCATACCAACAGGAACAGGAGAATGACATTTGACTCCTTGAACATGCTTCCCTATTCATAAGAGCATGGCTAGTCTTCCAACTCAACTTTCATGTCCAATACTCACATCTCTTGATTCCCCAGAGTCCAAAGATCTATCTATCTATCTATCAAAGCCATAGAAAAATTGAGATTTTTATTGTAAAGGACAATGGAACCAAAACTGGTGGATTGAGTTAAAGTACAAATCAGCTATTATATGATTAAATATTGGAGCAGACTAGAGAGATTGAATAACCTCACCCCATTTCTATGGTCCAGGTTGAGAAAGACTGGATTCAATGACATAGTCTGACCATTGAAAATATTTCACTAACCTTGGGCACTCTCACAAATAGGAATATGTCGAAACCCTGGAATAGGGTCAAAAGTAGCACACTAGATTAATACCTAACTCAAAAAGGTCCTCATTTTCCACAATACGTTTAGAGAATTGAGGCATGTTTCTTCAGAAGAACATAGAATCTGGGGAGATCTGATTGAGGTCTTTAAAATAATAGAATATGTACAAAAATACAAAATTGACAGGCAGGGGAAAAAAACTGGTCCATAGACCCTGTCCCACACTATGACCACCGCGTCATGACTTTATAATTCGTACCTTGCAGCATTGTAATCTCATGGAAGAGGCAAAGCAACAGATAAAATCCCAGTCCAAAATAAGGAGAAAGAAACTCAAACAAATTCCTTTGCAACCTGATCAACCAATTGAAATCCATTTTAACGGAACAAGTATTGACACTCATCTTGTATGTGATGGGTAGACTATTTGAGTTATTATTGTTAGAGAGAATCAGAAGACTGGCATTTGAGTAATGTAAATATTAAATTGGGTTAGATTATTACAAAATATTTACAACAAACAACCTGGAAGAGGTTGAAAAAGGATTTGCTAGAATTACACCAGAACTGAGAGGATATAGGAGGAAAGATTGAACAGGTTGGAGTTATTTTGTCTAGAAAAAAAAGGTTGGCAGGATCTGTTAAAGGTCTTTGAGGTTATGAAAGAGTTGAATTGGGTAGAGTTGTAAGGGAGACAAGAACTAGGGAGTATGTATACATCTAAGGCAGTCACTAATAAATCCAACAGATAATTCATGACAAGCCTTTTACAGAGTTCGTGGGACTCACTACCACATGGACGAATAGAGTGATAGTGAGAGATGAAGAGAGGTGGGAAGAAGCTTGTACGAAACATAAAAATCAACATGGACCAATTAGGCAGAATGATCTGTTTTTGTGCTTTCAGTATGTTGTAATGTACACACAATATATTCTCCTAAAATAAGAAATTGTTTTACCTGTTCACAGAAATAATTTGTTTAAGATACAGATAGGGAGAACTTCTACAAACACTATGGTACAATGCATAAATCACCCATCATGTGTATATATACCTACATGCAATGTATGTTTGGTCCTTATCCATGCCTTTGTTACTTGTAGACTTAACTATTTTAACGCAGCCTTGGCTGGCCTCCCGTATGCCCTCTCTGTAAACTTCAGATCATTTAAAACTCTTCTGCCCAACTTGCATCAAGTATAGTTCACCAGTTTTCTCTGTCCTGACTGATTTACACTGGTTACTGGTTAATCCATGCATCAAATTTAAAATATTCATCCTTGTTTTCAAATCCCTTAGTGACTTCACCCTTTCATGCGTCTATAATCTCCAACCCTACAATGGTCTGAAATCTCTGCACTTCTCTAATTTGGACTCTTGATCATCCTTAATATCAATTGTCCCACCTTCAGCTGCCAAGATCCTAAGCTCTGGAATTCCCTTAATAGATTGTTCTGCCTCTGTATCTCTCTCTCTCTTCCTTTAACACTTCCTAAAACCTTCCTCTTACTAAGCTTTTGGTCAGCTGCCCTGATATTGCCTTATGTGGTTTGGTGTCAAATTTTGTTTCATAACACTCTTGTTTTCTGAAGTGCCTTGAATATTTTATTGTTAAAAGTGTTACATAAATACAAATGCTTACCCACAAAAAAAATTACTGATATAGGGCTGTAGATACAACGTATGTACATCTAGAGTATACACCTATGTACACATTGTATCCTTAACAGCAATATACATGTGTGCCTGAACAACCACCTGGATATGCAAGATTACTCTGATAAAGGACCCACAATCTGCAACATTAACCTTGTCTTTTTATAAATGCTAATGCTGTACTTCGACTTTCCAGTATTTCATGCTCTGTATTTGAATGAATAATATAGCCATTATCATAAAATACTCAGATTACCTGGGATCCAAATATACTGGTGTACAAAATACAGATAGGTGAACAGAATCTGTTGGAAGATCTAAAGATTTCTGGAACAAAAACAGAAGTTGTTGGAAAAGCTCAGCAGGTCTGGCAGCATCTGTGAAGAAAAATCAGAGTTAACATTTCAGGTCCGGTGACCCTTCCTCACATCTTGGTTTTAAAGATTTCTGGAGTCTGGATTGGGAAATTACTGACAATAAACATTTATATTGAGAGAAGCAAAAACACAACAAGAAATATTAAGAGAATTTTACCTTTTACATACATTTCAGGCCATAAATGTCCAGTTCCTCTGTAAAAAAAAAAACTCCAGGCTTATGAAGGCAATATATTTATTCAAATTAAAACAGATTTGAGATTAATGAAATTTAGCACATTACAATTTCGACAATTTTCACACAAACCTTCCTACTCTGGAAGACATATCAAATATTGAAAGAAAATCACTAGAAATGAAGATTACACGATTGTCGGTGAATGCTGGTGTCGTATTGAATGAATCAAACCTTACTTCAAAACCAGCTGACAATGACAGCTCCAATCTTTTCTGTTCCAGCAAATCCATGTGTTAAAACTACCAAAATAAATAATGGTTTCAAACCATGGGAACAGGAAGAAACCATTCAGGCCCCCTTAATACTGCTCTGTCATTCAGTAAGATTATTGCTGATTTGTACCTTAAATCCACAACCCTTAACATCAACAAAATGTTATCAATTTCTGTTTTATATTTATCAATTGACCCCAAGCCTGAACAACATTTGGTGCAAAGAGTTCCAGATTTCCACTAAGTCTTTGTGTGAAAGTGCTTCCTGATCACTCCTGAATGGTTTAGCTCATTTAATTGTGTTCCATTGCTCTGAGTTCACACCTTCCTCGCCCCATTCATCAACTCCTTTAATCATATTAAGCACTTCAATTAATCTGCTATTTAATCGTCTGATGCAGATATTTCAGATGGTTTGTACGCTGGACGTGGTTACAGTTGAGAGAAGATGAAAGACTTCAAATATACTTTAATTTTAAATTTGATGCATTGTCAGGTTTGGAACTTTATTGGCCAGAGAGCACATGGATGATGATCTAGTAACTCCAATCTTGGTACTCCGATCTCTCTCCTAGCAGTTACATACAAATTATAGCTCAGAAACCGGTAATTTGGGCCTATATAAGAACATGGGTGAAGACAGATAAGAAAAGCATTGCAATAATTGTGGGTGACTTTAATCTTCAAAAAGTTTGAACAAATCAAATTGGCAAAGATAGTTTTAAGGATAAGTTCATAAAATCTATTTGGGAAAGTTTCTAAGAACTGTACTAGAACCAATCAGGAAATTGGCTATTTTAGTTCTGGCAATCTGTAATGAGACAGGATTAATTAATGATCTCACAGAAAAGGATGTTCCAGGGATGAGAGGTCATAACATATTTGAATTTCACATTTGGTTTGATGATGAGAAACGTGGTCTAGTGTCTTTAATTTAAATGAAGATAAATATAAAGGGATGAAGACAGAGTTGGCTAAAGTGGAAAATAGATTAAAAGGTGAGACAATGCATATGTAGTGACAGACATTTAAGGAGACCCTTTATAACTTGCATCACCCATATATTTCCATTGAGAAACAAGGAAGCTATGAGCAGGATAAACCATCTGTGGCTTAATGAGGAAAGTAAGGATGGTACGAATTGTAAGAAAACGCGTGCATTATTGTAAAGATTAGTGGTAGGCTGGAGGTTTGTGAAACTCTTAGATTTAACAAAGTATGAGTAATAAGTAATAAAGAAGGAGAACATAGATTGTATGAGTAAACTAGAAGGAAATATAAAAGTATAAAATCTAAAAATGTACAAAGGGAGTAACTAAAGTAAATATTGTTCTTTAGTGGATTTTTAAAATTCATTCATGGGATGTAGGTGTCGCTGGCTGGCCAGCATTTATTGCCTGTTCCTAGTTTCCCTTGAGAAGGCGGTGCTGAGCTGCCTTATTGAACGCTGCAGTCCACCTGCTGTGGGTTGATCCACAATGCTGTTCTGGATGGAATTCCACGATTTTGACCCAGCGACAGTGAAAGAACAGAGATATATTTCCAAATCAGGATGGTGAGTGGCCTGGTGAGAAATTGCAGGTGATGGTGTTCCCATGTATCTGTCCCCATGTCCTTCTAAATGGAAGTGGTCGTGGGTTTGAAACATGCTGTCTGAGATTCTTTGATGAATTTCTGTGGTGCATCTTGTAGATAGTACACACTGCTGCTACTGAGCATCGGTGATGGAGGGAGTGGATGCTAGTGGATGTGGTGCCAATCAAGCGAGCTGCTTTGGCCTGGTTGGTGTCAAGCTTCTTGAGTGTTGTTGGAGCAGCATCCGTCCAGGCAAGTAGGGAGTATTCCATCACATTCCTGTCTTGTGTTTTTGGGGAGTCAGGAGATGAGTTACTCGCTGCAATATTCCTAGCCACTGACCTGCTTTTGTGCCACTGTGTTTATGTGGCAAATCCAATTGTTTCTGGTCAACGGTAACCACCAGGATGTTGACAGTTGGGGATTCAATGATGATAACACTATTGAATGTCAAAGGGTGGTGGTTAGATTGTCTCTTCTTGGTGATGGTCACAGCATGGTATTTATATGGTGCAAATATTAATTGCATGAATGAGGCTAGGGAAATATGTAAAATACAGATTATGAAAGATATTTTGTGTTGGTACACACTGTAGAAGGCAGAAAGAGCACTGCATTAATAAATAGTTGAAAATTTAGGAGAAAGAGAAGGAAGAACTGAACGTATCATGAGAGAAACAGCACTAGACAGGCCAATGGCCTTAAAGGCTGACAAGAGCCTGGGACCCGATGACCAGAATCTTAAAAGAAATGGCTGCAGACATAACAAATATATTGGTTGCAATCTTCCAAAAATCTTCCTTATTCAACATCATTACAGTAGTTGTAGTTGTCACATTGCCGTTGTGTAAGTTTGCTGTCTATAAATGGCTGCCTCATTTCCGGCATGACATCAATGATCTCACTTCAAAACTATGTTAATTGGCTGTAAAGTGTTTTGGAAATATCTGGTGGTTCTACAAAGCACTCTCTTTCTATTTAAAATTCCTTAGATTCTGGAACTGCCCCAGCAGATTGGAATTACAACAAATATATCTCGACAAGTGAAAGGAGAGAGACAGAAAGCAGAAAGCATTAGGCCAGTTAGTCTATATTTGTCGCTGGAAATACTGTAATCCATTACACATAGTAGTGGCAGGACATTTAGAAAATTATTATCATCTTTGGTTTCTCCTCATGCTCAAAGATGGCCAATTCTTGCACATCATTTATTGTGAATTCTAAAGGAGCTGTGGAGCCTAATTGCTGAACTGCATGGCTTTTCTTAACACTAGCATGGATGAATTATCTGCTTTTATTGGAATTGCCGTTTGTGTTTTTCTGCATGTTTTGTTGTTCTGAGGAAGCCAGGCCATCACTTGAAATTGCATCCCTGGTAGTTCTTTCTTGCGCAATTTTCTCTCAATTGGTGGTGGATTTGGCGCATTCCTGAGGTTCACCTTTGAGAAGTCCTTGAATCTTAAATGCGGCCAACCTAATTGAAGTGATGTAAGGTGTATAAGCTGTGTGTCCAGTGACTGTTTACTTTAATCAAACAGAATGTTCCTTTCATCATTTATAAAGGCATATTATAGACCAAACTCAAACAGCCCTTGCCTGGAAAACCCAAATGATGAGGTGAGATGTGATTCAGACAGGACAACTCTTGCTGAACAACCCTGAGTGCACTACTGGCTACATTAACAACCAATGTAAGATAATCAGTTGAGTTCATGATTTATTTGCATTTACTAAAAATGACCTACTTTCAAGCATAGAGAACCAATTTCCACAAACAACAGGAGTACATTCAAGCCTTGCATCTTTTTTGATATATCTAGGAGCTTGGGGAGCTTCTGGTTCTCAGTTGATTTGTCCATAGGAAACACCTCAGTCAATCAGAGTCCATTTGCCAGCAATTTTCACCCTTTTCCCCTGTAATTGTTGTGATTGTTTAAAATTTGGGGCTCTTATGTCCATTGCAATGAGTGTAAGATATTAAAACTCAGCACTTTTCAGTGATATTCCAGTATTCTAGTTGTGGCTCAACCAGAGCATTATAGAGTTCCCTAATTTTGTACTTGCTATCTCTGCATGTGAATCTTAAGATGCCATAATGTTTGCTAGCTGCTGTCTCAAAAGTGTTCAAAAGTCTATGAATTTGCATTTCCAAGGACCCTCTGTCCCTGTGTGATTTAGTCTATATTGCATTCCCTATCACTTTAGCTAAAAAAAAACTCAATTCTAAATTAAATTCTATCTGTCACTTGTCTGCCCATCCCATTAACTCTTGTTGAAGTCAACTGGTACTATCCTTACTCACCAGGGACAGAATGTCTGAAATTCATCTATTTGATAGTTGTCCATTTTGATAAAATAGAAAGCACAAATAAAGAGATTAAAGAAGACCAAATAAAGAGACAACAGAATGCTGTGATGGAGGACTCTGAGCATTCTTGAACATCAAACACAAAACAAAGTTTGGAGGTAAAGCAAGTAATTTAAGGCAAATGGAATTTTGGGCCTTTATTGCAAGGGGATGGAATATAAAATGGGGATACATGCTGGAACTGTACAGGGTTGAGATGACATTTATACTTTGGTAGATAGTTTTTGTCTCTTCATTGAAGGAGGGATATACTTCAATTGGAGAGAGTTCACAGAGGATTCATTAGATTGGTTCCTGTGTTGAAGAGGTTGGCTTATGGGGAAATGTTGAGTAGTTGGGACCATACTGCTTGAAGTTTAGAAGAGAGAGATGATCTTATTGAAACATATAACAGCTTACATTGTAGCTGCTGAGAGGCAGTTTCCTAACATTGATTTTAAATAGCTTCTCCATTAAAGATAGAGAAGAGGTAGAAATTTGTTAGTCTTCCGAATTCTGTATCCCAGAGAGCTGTGGAAGCTGAATCATTGAATATATTCAAAGCTGAGACAGATTTTTAAATTACTGGGGAAATCAAAATTTAAGAATGATACTTGGACTGCAGGGGTTAAGTTATGAGAAGGGATTATACAAATTAGGCCTGTTTTCTCTAGAATTTAGAAGGTTAATGGGTGATCTGATCAAAGTCTTCAAGATATTAGCAAGAAAACTATTTGCGCTGGTTAGGGATTCTAGGATGAGGGGCCATATCATTCAGGAGAGACATTAGGAAGCACTTCTACACACAAAGGACGACACTGTCATCTATGTACTGAAATTCCATGAGCGATATCAGTGTCATTTTCTTCTTGGATTTCAACCAATTGAGTTTGCAATGTTTTCTGTCCATCCTGTACATGATGTCCACACCACCAGGAAGGTGAAGAATATGGCAATGAAGATGGAGAAAAAGAAAGGGCGAATATACATCCCAGTTGATTTCAGTCTTGACCTCGAAGGTTTCTTTTATATTACCATTAGTGAGAACATGCCAGCTGAGATCTCATTGAATGGAAGAACAGATTTGAAGGATGAATAGATTTTCTCCTGTTCCTATATTTCTAATGTTGGCCTTAAAAATAATTTAGAAAAAGAAACTGAACAAAAGTTTCTGAAAAATAACATGTTTCACCCTTTCAAATTAGGTATGTTGTATAAAGAACAATCTCCACAATCCATATGTATATATTTCAAAATTCTAGAAACGTGCCCCAGGTTTTTGTGGAGTGCTGAAGCCTTCAAGTAAAATGTTTAACTTTATAACATTCAATAAATATGAAGTATGCTATTTTTAAAAGTAATAATTAAACCCAGAGTTGAAAATTTACAACAATCTGTCTGCAAAGTACATATACAAACAATAATTCCAATTCACTGTAGGCTTGCACATATTTACAGGAATTGGATTGGTGGCCTAAAAACAATGGGTTATTTTTATCACAGTTCCAACTGAATAGAAGAACATTATGTTGAAGGTTATGGGTGATTGAAAAACACACAAGCAAATCAAGTTAAAATTTGTCAAGTATACAGCAACAGCAATATAATAAAACATTCCTGGGTGCTTCACAGGTGCATTATAAATCAAGATTTGACACCATATCTCAATGAACAATTTTGGAGCAAATGGCCATAAATCATAGTCAAAGACATAGGTTGTATGAGTGTTCTCAAGAATGAAAGAGAGCTAGTAGCCATGGAGGTTTAAAAAGGGAATTCTAGAACTGAGTGCATAATAGTGGATCCACTAAAATCAAGGATTCTTAAGATGCCTGAATTGGAGGAGCACACCCTTCTTGAAGGTTCTAGAGCTGAAGAAGATGAGAGGAACTTGAAAGCAAGGACGAGAGTTTTAAAATTCACTTGTTTTACCAGAAGGTAATTGAGTACAGGCATTATACATAAATTTAATTTGGCCTGAGTAAGATCATGCGTAGCAGAGCTTTGAATAACTTCCAGTTTAGGGAAGGTTGAATGTGAAAGGTAGCCAGGAGCGCTTTGGAATAGTCAACTCAAAAGGTAACAAAGGTCACCTGTCATAGTTCATTCTTGAATTGTGATAATTGCATCTGGAGTAGCTCCACAGGCTCAGTGTTACGACATGGATGTAAACTCAAGGAGCCACACAGGGATATCACACTCACAGCATAGGCGGCACGCTGGCTCAATGGTTAGCACTGCTGCCTCACAGCACCAGTGACCTGGGTTTGATTCCACCCTCAGGCGACTGTCTGTGTGGAGTTTGCACATTCTCCCCGTGTCTGCATGGGTTTCCTCCCACAGTCTAAAGATGTGCAGGCTAGGTGGATTGGCCATAGTGGCCATGATGTGTCGGTTATAGGGAAATGGGTCTGGGTGGGATGCTCTCAGAGTTGGTGTGGACTTGTTGGGCCAAAGGAGCTGTTTCCATACTGTTGGGATTCTATGATGATGAAATGTCATTCTGTTACCTGTTTTGCTTACGACACTGCCTGAGCCTCCAATTTGAGAGACTGAGACAACGACATCCAGCACTTCCTCTGGCAGTTCACTCAACATACCACCCAATGTGTGAAAAAGTTGCCCCTCAGGACCCTTTTAAATCTTTCTCCTTTCACCTGACAGTTATGCCCTCTTGTTTTGAACTCCCCCATTCTAGGGAAAAGACCTTTGCTATTCACCTTATCTATACCCCTCATTATTTTATAAACCTCTACAAGGTCACCCTTCAACTTCTAATGTTCTAGTGAGACCAGTTCCAGCCTCTCTTTATAACTGAAATCATCCAGTCCTGGTAATGTCCTTGTAAATCTTTTCTGCACCTGCTCCAATTTAATGATATCCTTCCTGTGACAGGGCGACCAGAACTGTACACAGTACTTGAAAAGTGGCCTCACCAATGTCCTGTAAAACCATAACATGACATTCCAACTCCTATACTCAGTGGTCTGACAATGAAGGAAAGCATTCTCAAGGGGCTGAATGTCTCTTGTTTATAAAGTTTATAGGTCACAGGCAGGAAAGTAGAGCTGAGACCAAGATTTGATGTTACTGAAGTTTAGAGCAAGTTTAGGAAGCTGTAATGGCCGCCATCAGCTTCTTCTACTGAGTGCAAACATTATTTTTATCTTACGTACAGCTTTTGTCTTCACACACATACATGGCGGAACCTCCCACTAGAACTCTCTCACGTGATGTCAACCCCGCCCCCACCCCACCGTTACTCCTCCCCCCACGCCCAGCGGTTTCCGGACCCCGCGCCCTGCCCCGGAAGCAGACTCTGGAGCCAGGCAGGCCGCGATGCTGTCGCGCGGATCCATCGAGATCCCGCTCCGGGACACGGATGAGGTGAGAGGCCGGTAGCGGACGGCGAGGGGCTCCGGAGCCTGGGAGGGGGAGGAAATTACCGCGGTGCGGGACCAAGCTCGGGAATCGGGCGCTGTCTCGTCGTCTGTCGGCCGAGGCTGTACCCCGAGGCCTCGCCTGCTGTGGCCGTGGGGACTGTGAGAGGTGCAGGGGTCACTGATGGAAAAGGAGCGGTGAGGGACCCGGGTCCTGGCATTAGTTGTATTCTCAGTTAATATCAGTAAGAACAGTTTATAACGTTGTCGCTGTCAAATTGTTGTTTGAGTAATCTTGGTTGCGGGATCTTGCTGTGCGTATGAGGAGCAGGAGAGTCGATGTTATGGGGCGGGACCCTTCACCGGGACTGGGATTGCCCCATTTCTGAAGAAGGGTTCCGACCTGAAATGTCGACTTTCCTGCTCCTCTAATGCTGCCTGACCTGCTGTGTTCCTCCAACTCTCCACCGTATTGACTCTGACTCCAGCATCTGCAGTTCTTGCTATCTCCTTGCAGTGCGTCCTTTGGTTGAGGGATCTTCACTGTGTGCTAGTTTGCTGTTTGGATCTTGCTGTGCGCTACTTGGCAGTGGGATCTTTGACTGCCTACCGAGTCCCTGACACGTTTCCTAGTAATAAATCCTTAGTAGCAATAACTGTTCATTGCTGTAAGTGCTTTGGGATGTCCTCAGGTTCTGAAAGATACTTAAGGGTTTCGGCCCGAAACGTTGGCTTTTCTGCAACTCAGATGCCGTCTGACCCGCTGAGCTTTTCTAGCCTCACACCTATAGACTCTGGCTTCCAGCATCTGCAGGCTTTATTGTCTCCATGTCAAGACAACATGTTTCTCTTATTTTTGTTGTCTCCATGATCAACTACTTCATCTTCATGAACTTTGGTTCATTCAAAACTGCTGTCCATGCTCAAACCTATTACAGTGATGTCCACCTTACCAGTTTATAAGCCTAGAGACAAACTCTTAAAAATGAACTGATTTGGTGTAGAAAGCTGCAGTTGGTCATCGTGTTTTCAAACGTCTATCAACAGACCAACTTACGGCAGGTGTAGGCCACTTCACCCCTAGAGCCTGCTTTACCATTCAACAAGATCACGGCTGACCCGATTGTATCTGAAGTTCACATTTCCACCCGTGCCTGATAACGTTTGGCTCCCTTGTCGATTAAGATGCTATCTACCTCTGCCTTAAAAATACTCAGTTACTCCATTTTAACAGCTCACTGGGGAAGATAGTTCCAAAGATTTAAGAACTACTGAGAGAAAAAGGTATTTTCATCTCCATCTTAAATGGAAGATCTTTTATTTATGACTCTTAGTTCTAGTATCTCCTTCAGGAAAGAACATATTTTCAGTATCTATCCTGTCAAGTGCCCTCAGGATTTTATATCTCAATGCAATCACCTGTTTTTCTTCTAAACTTCATTGGACACTGGGTCAACCTTTCTTCATCAGATAACTAATACCTGGGATGGGATTTAAGTGAGCATTCTCTGAACTGCTTCTAATATGTTTATATCCCTTTTTAAGTAAGGAGATCACAACTAAACAGTAGTCTGATATGGTCTCTCCAATGGTCTGTACAACTGTAGCAAACATTCCTACTTTTATATTCCCTAATCACTTGTTATTCCAATATAGTAACTTTGTGATTTATGTACCAAGATATTCCATTCCCTCTGTGCCTCGGGATTTTACAACCTTTTTCAATTTAAATAATATGCTGCCTTTCTGTTCTTCCTGACAAAGTAGAAAGGTTCACATTTTTAAAATTCTGTACTCCATCTGCCAAAGTTTTGCCCATTCACTTAGCCTGTTTGTATTCCTTAGCAGATCCATTATGTCCTATTCAAAACTTACTTTCCTACTTATCTTCATGTCATAGGTAAAGTTAGTAACCGTACATTTGACTCCTTCATCCAAGTCATTTATATAAATTGTGAGTAGTTGATTCATGTGGTATTACATTTTTGTGTCTTGCAAGCCTAAAGTGACCTATTTATGCCAACTTTGTTTCCTGTTAGGTAACCAATTCTCTATCCTATTATGCTATCCCCTACAGCATGAGCTGTTATGTTGCTTAGTAACCTTTAATGTGACATCTTGTTCAATGCCTTTTGACATGCAAGTACATTCATGAGTTTCACTTTATTCACATTGCAGTTTTCTGAGAAAGTAACAAGCAAAAAGTCAAATATGATTTCCATGATTTATTCAAACTTTCAGTACAGTCAGGCTGATATGCCTCAACTTCCTACACTATATTCCCTTATATCCAAAAATGTACCAACCACTGTCTGAATAAACTCAATAACAGAGTATCCACAGCCCTGTGATTTAGAAATTCCAAAAGATTCATAACCCTCTGAGCAGTGCTCCTTCTAATTTTCTTCTTGGCTGCACAAGCACCTGAGGTCCATGCATGGCAGTGACTCCCAGAAGCAGAAGTCAGTGACGCCAACCCCAAAATGTAGATTCCCCAGCAGAACAAAAGAAAACTTTCCTGTCAAACTCTTAGAAATTTTACATGTTTCAATTGACAGTTGGTTTCTAAGCCTCATCAGTGAGTTGTTTGATCTATAACAGGTCACAAATCTCTAATAGAAACAATATTATTTTACCTGACAATGCTTAGGTTTCTAAACAAAATAGTAGAGAAAAATACTGTGGATGCTAGAAATCTGCAATAAAAATCAAAAATGCTTGTAGCATCCAACAGCATCTTTGGAGATAGAAAGGAAGTTAACGTTTCAAATCAGGGTGCGATGAAAAGCCAGAGGCCAGAAATGTTAACTGTTTCTCTTTCTACTGATGCTGCCAAACCTTAAGTATTTCCAGCATTTTCTGTTTGATTTCAAACAAAAGCTACCTGTTGTGACTGCTGAATCCGCGTGTCAATTTTATGATGATAACTGAACAAAAGTAACAACATTAAATTCTTTGAGTTTCTTTTGATTTTTTTATAGTTTAGTCTTTTTATTAGTTATGTTCCTATACCAAAGAGTGGACTTCTAACTGACTGTGAGAGCCCAATATTTCCTTATTGGTCAATTAGAAAGCACAACAAAAAATACCTTATGCAACCTGAAGCTAAAATAATGCTGTTGTATCCTGAGCATTGCAAGCATACGTTATCTCTTTAAGCACTGCCAGATATGGGACCGGTGGGCAAGGAGGGATCAACAAATCCTGGAGATACTGGTATTGCATTGTTTTGGTTGGCACTACAAAGATCAGTGAAAGCATTATGTTCTTAGGACACTAGCAACATACGAACTTGACTCCAAGTGAGGGAGTAGAGAAACCAACGTAAGATTTTGTTGTGGAGTGTAAGTGGTCCTTTGCTCAGCAGCCTGTCCTCGTTGGACTCGATGAAACCAATTACAGTACCTCAAATCTAGTAGCCTTGGCAGTGAGGTGTGCCAAATGTCAAATATTTCGATATCTTGGGTCAAGCAGTTTGGGCTGTTAGCAGTTCAGGTCAGGTTGGATGAGGTCAGGGGTGGTTTGGAGCACAGGATAAAGTGGTAGGAAAGCAGCAAAGCCTATAACTAATCTGAAGTCACACTGCACCAACATTGTCCACTAAATTATTTTTAATATTTTACTCAATCAGACAATGCTGGAATTCAGGTGGCTGGGTTTGAGGTACTCAATCTGTAACAGGTAATTCTGCTATAATGCATGTTTCATTAACACAAATTGGCTGTAACGTGATTGATGAATATGGATGCTGTTTGGATAACATGAACTTTCTGTTGTACAAGTATAGCGATTTTCTATAGCGATTTTCTATAGCAATTTCCCTTTAACACGATTTTCTGTAGCATGAGGTCACACGAACGCAACTATCGTGTTATAGGAGAACTACCTGTAATCATTTTTAGTCCCTTGGTGGGAGGTGAGGAAAGAGACTCATTTTCTGGTGGTGAACAGATGAATGCTTTACATAAAGAAAATTCTGAGATTTGTGCATACTATTTTAAGATTATGAGTGAGACTTATTTTTATTGAGGAAATACATCTGGTCATAAATTTGCAAGGAATCGACGCTGGGTCCGTTTTTGTTTGTCATTTTATATAAATGATTTAGATGAGAATATAGGAAGCATGGTTGGTAAATTTGTGGATGACACCAAAATTGATGGCATAGTGGACAGTGAAGAAGATAACAAACAAATCTTAATCAATTGGGTCAGTAGGCTAAACAGTGGTAAATGGAGTTTAATGTGGATAAATGCAAGGTATTGCATTTTGTTAAAATAAACAGACAAGACTCCTACAATTAAAAAGTTGGATCTTGGATAGTTTTGTAGAACGGAGACCGAGGGGTTCAGGTACATAATTCATTGAAGTTTGCATCACATGAAAAAAAGGTGGTTAAGAAGGTGTTTAGCATGCTTGCCTTCATTGCTCAGACCTTTGAGTAGAGGAGTTGGGACGTTATGTTCAGTTGTACGGGACTTTGGTGAGGCTTCTTCTGGATTACTGTGTCAAGTTCAGGCCACCCTGTTATAGTAAGGATATCATTAAGCTGGAGAAGGTTCAAAAGAGATTTACCAGGATGTTGCCAGGAATGGAGAGTTTGAGTTAGAAGGAGAGGCTGGATAGACTGGGACTTTTTTCACTGGAGCGTCACAGAGGTTGAGAGCTGACCTCATAGAGGTTTATAAAATAATGAGGGGTACAAATAAGGTGAATGGCAAGTGTCTTTTCCTTAGGTTGCGGGATTTCAAGACTAGGGGGCATATTTTTAAGATGAAAGGAGAAAGATTTTTAAAACACAATAGGGGCATTTTTATTTTGCAGAGTGTGGTTCGTATG